TCTGCATACAGCATGAGCTGAAGAACAGGAAGAACTGAAAAGATGAAATTTCATTATTTGAGATTCTTTTTGTGAATTAAATCAAATGAACATGTTTTGTATAGCCCACAGATGGATCCTAACTTGTGCTAAGACCCCCATAATAGGCCCACTTTAACAAGTACATATAAAATGTTTTCTTTGACTTTTTGTATTTGAAGGACATGTATGTCACAGGTACTTAAAATATTTTATGTCAATCTGTTTATCAGCTGATGTCTTTAGAACATGATCCTCTGCTCTGCTCCACTGATTTGAAATGGGAAGTTTGGAAAAACCCACTTATAACACAGAACTGACTAATGACATCTGTGTGTCCGAGCTCAGCATCTTTGAGTGAAAAATAAAACAATTTCACAGCACCAACACATTTTCTACCTTGTTGGAACACAGAGTTTAATGTTTCATATCAATTGCCCTTGGTTTAAAACCTTGCTCCACTACCTACTTTACACACACTTTGTGCTTTTGTTTTCTCTAGTTCTCTCTTTTTTTATCTTTTTCAGGAAACACACAGCCCTCCGGTGTGTGGGTGGGAAACAGAAAGACATATTAAAAAGGCAGCAGAACTTTATCTTGACATGCTAAAAGGATGATTTAATCATCTGTAGCAGCAAACTGCCAGCATCTTATTTCAATTTTCCAGTTTAAACCCAGAGATATAATAAATGTGGTCATCTTCTGCACCACTGCCTGGCTGGCTGTTTGTGTTTTTGACTGCTTGTGAATTAAAACCACATGTTTTGTTATTTTGCTGGTGTCAAATCTCAATGTGGAAAGAAAATGAGGGGCTTAGGAAGAGGTTTTAGCAACAAACTTGTTTCAGTGTTGTTACATTCTCTACTTCCAACAGTGTGTTGAGTATGGAGATCAGGTCGGTGCTGTTTGTGTGCACTCTGCCCCACTTTTCCACCCTTAAACACAACATAATCATCATATGAGCTTAGTTAGCTTCTGTGCTGCGGATAAATCAGTAAAATATCCAGCACAGGGGGGTGACTGGTTGTTTGGGAGACTAGAGAAGCTTAAAGAGGTTGTCCTGCTCACAGACCACATGATTGGTTAATAAGTAAAGCATGATTCGTTGGGCTTGGCATTAAATCACAGTCGTCGTGCTTTCAGAAGGCTGCTGTTTACCACTTGTTTTCCTTTCATTTCTGCAAATCAGACAAGTTGTTTTTCCCCTCAAGTCATGGGATTTCTGCTCTGTGTGTTTCAGCTCCTGAGCAGCTGTAAAGATGGACTAATAGAGAAGTTTGGCTTACAATATTCTTATTACTGTGCGCCAGTTGTTTGTCATGGATTTTTTTTTGAAAGAGGAACAGTGCTGCCTCTGTGCTTACAGAGAAGTGTGGAATACTGAGGTGCCTGCAGTGGTGTGAACAGTTTCAGGAGGTTTTTCTAAGAAATGCAGCTGTGTTTTAAGGCTAAAGTGAATGAACAAGTAGGTGGTGAGGGTTCGCTGCTTGTTGTTGAGCAGCGTGGGCTTCATGTGAGATAAATCACTTAAGTTATTTGGGTGTGTTATTTATGTTGCAGGCTGCTCTTTTTTTTTTGTTTCTTTAACCCTGATTAAATTTCCCTCCTCAGTGGGTGACTTTGACAAGATCTGGCGCGAGCACTGCGAGGACGAGCAGACGCTGAGTGAGTACGCCCTCGCCATGAAGAACCTCGCAGACAGCCACTGGACCAAAAACTGCGAAGGAGAAGGCCGCATCGAATGGTGTCGTAGGTGCGACGTGTTTCCAGGCATGTGGAGGAGCTTATTTCTGCTTTCTCTGCGACTGAGGTTTGACTTGTGTTTTGATTCTCCTCCTGCAGTGTCTGTCAAGAGTTTTTCTTGGACGGAGGGATGAAAAGAATGTTAGAAAAGGATGACAAAAGCACTGCAATGGCCATGAGTCCAGCTGCAGCATCTGTTGGTGCTGAAACTCACAACACCATCCCAAGGTAGGTTCTGATGAGAACATCCTAATGTCTTTTTTTAAGTGTCAAGAGAAAATGGCAGAAAGAAAACAACTTTATGTCCTTTGCTTCTATTAATAATGTGTCATTTGTGTGAACGGTTAAAAACTGCAGCAAAACTCACTGCTTCTGGTACAGTTGTTTAAAAAAATGTTACTAATTTGTTGTTTAAACTTCTTTCACTGAATAAATTTAAAATCTGGGCTAAAACAATCATTTACATTTAAACTTTTATGGCACACATAAATAGTAATGTCCTACAGTCTGAGTGTGTGAAAGAACAGAATCTTTTTGTGTGTGAATATAGATTTTAACCTAAAGAGGATCCTTTTCTCAGACAAACAGCTTGGAAATATTCAGTAAATGCTTGTTTACACAAGCAGAAAATATTGTTTCCACTGCAGCCAGTTTAAAAGTTTGAACCCACAGAAGATTCATCAGCTGGTCGTTGTCAGACTTCATTTGTTGGTTTGACAGTAATGCTACGTTCACACCGAACGTACCATTACGTAAAAGTACGTAAAAGTCCATCAGCTGGCAGCTTCTGGAGTGACGAAACTAACTGAACAAATCGCCTCTAAATCATCTGGTGAGTTAATTATCTGCTGTGCACAACGTTCACTTGCTTTTTAGTAAATAAATCAAAGCCGTTTTCTTTTGTTTTATCTTTATTCACCCGCCGAGGACACGCTCCTCCCACAGCCAGCTGCAGTCGCTGCTGCTGCTTCTCGTTCTGGTCTGAACACTAGTGCATTCTTCGGTCTGAACATAGTGCGTCCAACTTCAGGCGTTTTGCGCTTTTTGGCCGCTCAAAACGCGTTCGGTGTGAACGTAGCATAAGCTCCCAGTAAGGTTATTATTTTACAAATGTTGAGCTAAGATTTGATGTGCTAGTAGCTGACAGTCACGTGACAAGATTATGGTGCGTTCACACCGAACGCGATTTCAGCTTCAAAATCGCAGCCAACGCTGAAGTTTGAAGCTTGTGCACTTTGAGGTCAGACGCAGGACATCTGCGCTGCACGGCGACAGCCGCCCCGCCCCTCCCTCCTCTGTGGGGCTCCGTTTAATGTCGGACGAGGAAGTGGCTTTGCTTTATTTACAGACAGCCAGAACGTGTCACGTTCATCAGATAATTAATTCATAATTAATTCACCAGATAATTCAGAGAAGAGGCTCACAGCTGCTTTCAGGACTATTTTTTCAGTCTGATGAGTCGCTGCCACGCATTGCTGCGGATCAGGACACGACTGCAGCACTCATTTTAGCTAAAGAGCAGGAGCTCCGTCTGTTTCAGGTTAGTGGACCTCATTCAGTAAACTGTCCCGTCGGGAAATATGTCACTACGTCACACAGTGGAGTCTCTCTGATTGGTTGACGCTGCGCGTCGAGCTGCAAAAGTTCAGATTTCCCAACTTCAGCGATTTGGACGATTTGGACGATCTGAGCGTTCGACGCTCAGATCGTCCAAATCGTTCAAATCGCGCTGCTCTAATCGCGCTTGAGGCGCCGCAGAACTTCCCGACGTTGCTTGAAGTGCCTCCACCATAGACTTTGHATGTAAACCTGCTGCTCCTGACGCTGAAATCGCGTTTGGTGTGAACGCACCATTAGTCTTTAGTCCAAAAACTATTAGTCTACTCTTTTTGTCTGTTACCAAAAATATCTCATAGACAACTGGATGGATTTTAATAAAACTCTTGAACATAATCACTGGAGGTGCCTGTACAACTGATGAAAATGTAAAGGTCAAATGAAGGCTACGTTGAAATAACTGTATGATTTCATAGTATATGTTATATGTAGGATGAATATCAATAACATTTCTAAATATTGTTGTAAATGTGACCAAAAATCATGAAAATCAGAATAAGAATTTCCATTCAGAGCTCCTGCAGAAGTTCAGTAGTGGGGTGTGCATGGTGACCCACCCTAACCCACAGACTAAAAAGATGAAAATTTTCATCTTCTGTTGGGGTTGTGACCTTTTGACCCCCTGATGACATCATCAAGCACATACTTGTTTAATGAAATGTCATGTAAATTGAAGAACTAATTAATACATATCTGTTGATACCTTGTTGTAAAATTTGGTTGGTTTATATCAAATTTATTCGCAATTAAGCTTCCTGTCCCCCTAACTTTGATGGTCACAATGTAAAAGGGGTGTGTTCAAAAAGGGGTCCCTGGGGGGCAGTGAGACGCACCTTCTTTTCTGTTAACATGCATTTTCTGAAAGACTGTACCCTAGGGCAGTGGTTCCCAAACTTTTCAGCTTTTGACCCACAAAATAACAGTAGCAGAGGCCTGTGCCCCCAACTATTTTTGGATGATAAATATTTCTATCAGGTCAATAAAACATGGGTATTAGTAACAATATTTTTATATTAAATGTACCCATTTTAAATACACTAACCTCACTCATTTGTAACAACTAAGGCAAAAATGTAATTAATTCCTAAAATCTTTTCAGGACCCCACCTTGATGTTTTGGGACCCCACTTTGGGTCCCGACCCCAACTTTGGGAAACACTGCCCTAGCGTACATGAAAATACCTGAGAAGTTGGGGTGGGGGTGTTTATGGTGATCCACCCTAGCCCATGGACAGGCTTTAGATGACTGCCACATGGGGACGGATATTATTAAAATTGTATCAGTACTTATCTGTGTTGCTTGTCAATCCAGTATTTTAATGGTACTCTTGCTGATGCTTCTCTGTGGTAATAAAACTATGAATATGTAATGTTTTTATTTTAAATCAGTTTAGAACTTTGAAAAATCACTTAATTTTTATTTGCACATGCAGTTTTAATTTGCATTGCATTAACCATTGCCAGTTTTCTTTTCTTTTATTTTACCAAGATGACTACTTTAAGCCTCTTATATTTTCCAGCTCACGTTGTTTTTTCAACATTTTATGAAAATTGCATGCCTTTATGTTTGATAAAAACACTTTGGTTCCACATGTGTACTGCTAGCATACATAACCGGAGTAGCAGGTGCTTGGCGTCCCACCTGGAGGTCAAACACAGTGTAACTTTCTGTTTGGACGTGGTGTACTTTACTGATGTGTTTTGATAGATTCCTCATGTTGCCATTTGCAAGCAATGTAATGCTTTGTTACACTTTAGACAGTTTGCACTTTCTGCGTCTGTTTTTGAAAAATAGAGCCACACTTTGAACTTTTTTACTCGCTACTTGCTGCTCTGCCATCATCTGAATCCTGTGTTGTTATTAGCCCCTCCCCTTCGGGCTCTGACAGCCTGGGAGAAGCAGACTCCAAGAGGCGAGAGAGCAAAAGAGAGCTCATCTTGTGCATCATGTGCAGTGTCCATGCTTGTCATGCCACCACTCTGTTCCTGTTAACGATACCATTCAGGTTTATTGATCAGGTCAAAATTAATCATGTAGCACCGGGGCTTAAAAATGACCAGGTTTCAGTACCAAACACTGCTTCCACAGCAAATCAACCTTAGCCAACACAAAGTAAGTAAGTAAGTAAAGTTTTATTTGTAAAGCGCCTTTCACAGAAATATATTCACAAGGTGCTGTACAATCATTAACAGTATAAAAATGGTGGAAAGAATAAAATGAAACAGAAAAACATAATTAAACAGAGCAACAAAAAAATTGAAAACATCAAATCAAGAATTAATTTCTAAAATTGTAAATCAAACACAAGGTCAATGCAGGGCAAAATATACAATAATACACAAAAACATAATGAATGTGGGAGAGAAAAATATGGTGTAAGTTCAATAATTAAAAAACACAGATTGATGAGCATTTGAGGTAGGCTGGCAGTAATGGTGAAAAAGTTTAGCTAAAACGCTTGAGAGAAAAAGTGAGTTTTTAGGAGTGACTTGAAAGAGACAATGTTATCAAGGGAGCTCAGATTAACAGGGAGTTCATTCCAGAGCCTGGGGGCCACAGAGGAGAAGGACCGGTCACCACGGGTCTTAAAGTGAGTGAGGGGAACCATAAGGAGATGTTGAAACATGGCTGTAATGTTTTACAAACATTATTGGTGGTAGCTGCTGGGAGTTGAACATAAAAACAAAATATGAGCATTAATTAATGAAAATACATGAGATCATCTGACTCCACCATTTGAGCATGGTTTCAACCTCTGGCTTTAAAGGCAGCTAGCAACAAGGATTTAATTTCTCCATGTTTTGTTACAGTCCCGTCTTTCAGCTGGGGAAGATTCGCCTTCTGGACGTGGGAAGCTGCTTCAACCCTTTCCTGAAGTTTGATGAGTTCCTGACCGTTGGGATCGACATCGTGCCTGCAGTAGAGGTATGAGCGTCTCTAAAGCAGCTCTGGTCACTTTTGTTGTTGTTCACAGCATGTTTTTAAATCAGGGATCATCAGTTGTGGTCCTCGAGGTCCACATCCCTGCATGTTTTACTTTTTTCCCTTTCTCTAACACACCTGATTCAGTCAGTGAATTACATCTTCCAAGTTCTGCAGAAGCCTGATAATCATTCAAATCAGGTGTGTTGGAGCAGAGGAACAAGTAAATCATGCAGGGCTGCGGACCTCGAGGACCAGAATTAATGATTCCTGTTTTAAATCATGGCTCATGTGAATGAGGTTTGCTTGCATTACAAAGCAAAAACAGCAGAAATGACTCATGCTTGCTGAGGGCGGGGGTAATGGTGCTGTGGTTCCAGCGTATGAAGCAGTTCAGCAGAAAGTGGAACAACACGAGTTTGTGTTTTGCAGCTGCAAATCACGAAACCGTTTGTAATAAGTCATTAGCACATTTCTAAATCACGGTTTGTGCTGCTTTCCTCATGTTTTCAGAGTGTGTACAAGTGTGACTTCCTCAACCTGCAGCTTCAGCAGCCTCTCCAGCTGGCAGGTGATGCAGTCGAGGCTTTCCTCCGTCACCTCCACAACCCAATCGACGCCCTGCCAGCCCAGCTGTTTCACGTGGTGGTCTTCTCCCTGCTTCTCTCCTATTTCCCCTCACCATACCAGCGCTGGATCTGCTGCAAGAAGGCCCACGAGCTGCTGGAGCTGCACGGCCTGCTGCTCATCATCACACCCGACTCGTCTCACCAGAACCGCCACGCCCTCATGATGCGCAGCTGGCGGGTGGCAGTGGAGTCATTGGGCTTCAAGCGCTACAAATACGTCAAATATTCCCACATGCACCTCATCGCCTTCCGCAAGGTGTGTCTGGCCACCACCAGCGACCTGGTGTCACGCAACTACCCCGAGATGCTCTACATCCCTCAGGACTTCAACTCCAACGAGGAGGAGGATTGTTCCGACGTGTCGGCACAGGTGCGCTCCGAGTTTGAGGATGACCAGCTGGCTTGGGGCTTCACGGAGCTACCGGACACGCCGTACGATTCCGATTCAGGGGAGAGTCAGGGCAGCTCTGTCCCTGGATTTCATGAGCTTGAGGATCCCGTTCTTCTTCAGAGCTAGACTAAAATGACCTTTCCTCCTCCTGACTGTCTCCTTCCCTTCTGCTGCTGCGCTGCCAAATTCAAACCTGCTGCATTCTTCTCCCACTCCCCTTTGTTAAAGAAAAAAAATGCAGTTTGCACAGTGTGAAAGAGAGTTTACAGATTATTTTTTCATATCCACACTCCTTTGAGAGCATACGCACACACACACACACACACACACACACACACACACAGACACTAAGATGGGTATATTTTGATAAATAGTTTTTTTTCCAAGTTGGAAATTGATTGCTCTTAAGTTATCTTATCTCCCCGCTCCGTCATTAAAAAAAAAATAAAAAGAAGAAGTCACCATCTCCAAGTCAGCTGTTAGCTAATACAAGTTAGCTTGTTTCCATTCTGTGCTCAGTCTCTGTTCGAATAAGCTATATGTCACAGACTGCTCGGTACAGAAGCCAAAGACAGCACCTCCCAGCAGTCTGACTGAAGTTTGATTGCACTGGAGAGACTGAGGAGGAATGTGTGAACCGGTACGCTTGCTCCTTTCAGTCATGCAGCTCTGAGAACTCTTCATGCGCATTTAGTTTTCCAAAGCAAACAACATAAAAAAGAGAAAAGTTATAGTTTTCAAATATATATTCTTAGTCAAACATTGGTGTTATCTAGTATAATGTGTGTCGATGCCATTTTTAATTCTTCTGAGTGATTTGTGCGTCTTTTATGAGAACGTAGTATTGTAGCATTGTAGAGATTTTCTGAATCAATAGAAGTGTTACTAGGTTTACTGGTGTGAAAATGTAACTGTTCACTTGTTGTTTAGCAAGGTACGAGTGCAAAATAGGTATTACACTTAAGGGTTGGGCGACTGGATGAATATATGGATGATGAGCGAAGAGAGTTCATCAGATTATTTTAAGGACGATGTTTTCTGCCTTTTTAAAATAATTTCCAGCACACAAAGTCTCTAACTTGACCACCTGACAGCTGCTGTCACTTCATTGCTCAGCAAAGATTGGGCTCATTAATTTATTCGATTCAGCAACAATGAATGTGAAAGTTTTATCTTGTAACAAAAAAGATATACAGTTCAAAGTTTTTCTAAAACAAAAGGATTTAGGAGCTAATCTAGCAGCAGCTGCGTAAAGAATCAAGAATTAATTAAAAAATATATCCTGTATTGCCTAAATTAAATTCCTGATTCATTGATGTTTAAAATATAAAACAAACTTTAGGCAACAAAGAAGAAAAAACACGTGATTAGTGATTGAGATGTTCTTATTTATAAAAACCTTTGCCAAAAGCCGAATAGAATAAAACAGCCACCAGTTTTTAAAAGACTAAATGTAGTGGAGAGTTTTCCTCATCGATCAGGTGTGGAGGTAATTCTCTGAGTGTCGCAGCAGCTGTTTCACAATCAACTGTCAGTTAAGTCTCTGAATTAAAGACATTTTCTTAAGTTCTGAGTTAAAGCTGCCTGTGTCCAAGTGAAGCACACACGTAATGTCTGACTGCTCGTCACGAGACACCGAGAGCAGAGAAGAGGGCTTGAACAGATTTAAACCTTTGTTTCCTCAGCGGTGACACCTTTCCTCACCCTTTATGCACTCATGGTCTGAAGCAGACCACATCCTAACTGAAAGCCGTTTAAAGACATTTTTCCTGCAGATTCTGGCTTTCAAATACAGAGTATTTGCTGACAGTGTTAGACATGTATCACATCATAAAACTACCACCCGGGGCTTGTTGCACACATTGAGTTTAGTTCTTGTTCAAGGCTTTGAGTCATTCCTTGGTTTCAAACCAAAGTGATCTTTATTTAGTGACTTGGTGATATGTTTGACCACAGATCGACTACTTCTGAGATTGTGCAAGGAGAATTTATTGTTTTGCTTCAAAAAAATAAAACCAAACAAAAGCACCTTTAAAGCCAGCTGTGTGAATAAATCACCAATAATCCGTTGTCGGACCGATGTTGCCCGATGGAAAAAATAGTTTATCTTGTCGCCCAACCCTGTTACACTTTCCCCCTCATTTTGTTTTACCATGATGTTGAGTCAGTTCTAATTTTCTCTCCTTTTATCGTTTTTGAGCAGAGAAGTGAAACATGTTGCAAGTCATTGATGTGAATTTAACTAAAGTGCACCTGTATCAACATAGCTTTGTTTTGATTGATCTGTTTGAATTTGAATACAAAAAGTCTCAAAAATGATCCAAATCGGAGCTCCTTGCTGTCAGATGATTCACCTTGACTGAAGAGATTTGCACTAATTTGCAGGTTTGACCTGTTGACTTTCAGAAACAGGTGAAATGCTGCAGATTTCAGGAAGATTCGTTGAGACAAAAACAAAAAAAGTGTGATGATACAGAATTTTATGAGAAGTTTTTGCTAAAGACACTACCTGGTGAAATGTTTGTGTGCTCCTGCTGGTTCCTGAAAGGGCCAGTGCTGTGGATTGTGTTGGGTTTGTGAGGATGAATGTTGGTTTTTTATTTTATTTTTTAATTGTCAGTGGCACTTTATAATAGATCTCATTGGGTGTCACAAAATTTGTGAAAATGATTTCCCATAGAAACTATTGACAAGTGAAGTACACGGTGCCTTGTGTGCTCTTGGTTGTTTGGCCTCTGGAGAAAATTAGGATTACACAATTTTATTAACCAGGCATGAAGCTCGTTTGGCCAAATTGCACACAAATATTTTCAGTTTGCCTCTATCATATCAAGGAAGCAGGAAATATTTCTGTATTTGTGTGTTGGATTTTGTTCCCATTTTCATATCATTATCAGGGTAAACAGAAAACAGTCGTCATACCACACCGTCAGACTTCAACAGGCATGTTTTGTGGTGTCTTCCAGTATTTTTGTGTCTGTGAGGGGCCCATTTACAAAGTTTATTTTCATTATCAACACTGATGAAGAACAATGAGTGCTTACGAAGTGGTTGTATTTCTCTTATAAACGAATGTAAATGAAATATATTTGTGTTTGTGTGTTTATTTAAAAAACACTCCAAAAATTTCTTCTGTGTACTTGTTATGAACTGATTGTGTGCATGGGAAAAGAGTAAAAGGTATTTTAACAGGCATTAATAGGTTAATTCTAATAGTATTCCATTAAAGTTGGTTGAAGGTTAAAAATTGGACCCATAGCCTCAGCATTTTGTAAATAATCACTGAAAAGCTATTTTTACGTGTTTAAGAAGATGCTGAGTAAAGTGTTGCAACAAAAAAGACAATGTATGAGAAGTTAATTGAACTTAGCAAAATTCGACTAATAAAAATAATTTGTACTAGTAGTTTAAGTGTGGAATGAAAGTTCAGGTTTTTCCATTTTTTCATTTTTTATTATTTTGTTGACTCGGCCGTTGCTCTGTTAAATATTTAGTTTAAATTATTCCTGAACTTGAGTAAAACTTGGAGAATAATTCATTACTGAATGCTGAAATATGTTCTACATAAATTATGTATTAACAAATCAAATTTACACACACACACAGTTTACACCCATTTCTATACAATGCACACCCACAATACAAGCAATACAAGAGCTCTTTTAGAAATTGTACTTAAATCATTCTTTAACATAAAATTTGTTTGGGGGACATGTTTTCAGCAGCTTTTGCAGGAGCCAGCCTTTAATGACAAATAAGCTAATAAAATAATGAAACATCTTATAGGTTTACTTAGCCTGTTTAGTACAGTAAATTGTATTCAGTAGGCAAATTTTATTTTCACATAGACATCAGAAAGTGCTTCACAAGGAACAAAACTAAAACATACACTCACCGGCCACTTTATTAGATACACCTGTCCAACTGCTCGTTAACACTTAATTTCTAATCAGCCAATCACATGGCAGCAACTCAGTGCATTTAGGCATGTAGACATGGTCAAGACAATCTCCTGCAGTTCAAACCGAGCATCAGTATGGGGAAGAAAGGTGATT